ATATGCCAAAGGTAGCATCTACGTATCAGAAATATGCAAGCAACAGGTGGTTAGGAACAATTCCATCAAAAACACGTTTCTCATGGAAATCGATGAAAATGTCTACAAGAGCTTAGCCTAGGGGGGATCCCATGACAACACCATCTGTTTAGACATATTTGGCTGTTATTAAAGATTTAACTCAATTGCATGAGTTGCTAAGTTCAAGAGTTCAATTGGAACAGATTCAGAAAATGACAGTGTGTCCAGATTACCACAATGTAGCGATACAGCTCAAATATCTGTGGTTTCTTGAGCAATGTATTAGGCTAGCAATGTCAAACAAGCACTTAGACATGGCTTTTTTGAATTCAATAAAATATCTGGAATAAGAGCTGGCCTATTGGCAGCCATGTAACCATATGAGTTGTCATACAAAATCTCACACAGGATACACTGGCGTTGCCTGCATCTACGCAGGGTGTTTCTTACAGCTTTTAACTTCACCCCTTTTATCTTACATGGAGGCTGATGGCGTTTGTGGCTTGCGTTGCTTATTAGCATGGCGATAGCTTGTCACAGTTCAGAACACTGGACAGTTTGGGAGTGGCCATGTTGCAATACAGTGTCGCGGTATTGTCAATGTCACACCTACAACATGTGCCAGCAGCAGATTCTTCAAACAACAACCCTGTGTGAAAATCAAAATGGGCCAGTCCTTAGTAAAGCCAAGGGGGACTGTGGGCAATCAGGGGATATGGCCATAATCAGTAGAGAGCTTCATCCTATTCCAGTCCAGGGGGTTGGCAACAGTCAGTCCTGCAGGAAAGTCCAACCATTCCAGGAATTAGAGGTTGATCAGTTGGGGTGCTGTCGAGATATTGGTCTGGGGTGAGTCGACTTTTTCCCTGCAGTGAGATAAACTCTGGGACTTAGTACTATAACAGCAGCTGGAAGAGCATTAGTGGCAACGTAGGTGCAGGAGAGGTGGTGACTGAGTAGGCATTGCTTAGGGCAGGAAGGGTTAGCAGTTTGGGATGATGAGGTGGGTGAGACCTGTTGCGTGGACATGCTGCATGCAATTGTAGGAGGTGTAGTCCATTAGTCTCGGTGATATGAGTGTGCAGTAACGGAGTTAAGAGGGGTTGGTGGCCCTGTGAGTGTGAGCTAGCAGAGAGAAGATGATGGCAATTCCCCTTGCAGAGTTCATAAGATCATTGACCTTCTCCCTGCACAGCGTGCATTGCATTTCACCCGAGATACTGCACTGACCCAGGCCACTTTCTCGCTCTAGGCTGCCGGGGTCAGGTGGTGTGGTCTCCTTTGCTGGCCAGTACTGCCCTTCTTTCCAACACTCCATCCACCAGCACCTCCCGGCCTGAACAGTGAGCCAAGGAGCTAACTTCCTTGTCTGGACTGTTTCCTTCGGGATAATGTTTCAAGACCAAGGTGTGAAGGGCAGTTCCTGGTTTGCAGCATCTAAATGGTGCACTGCTGGGCTTTAAATACTGGGTGGCAGCAGAATGGCAAAGTCCCAGCAGCGGAGAAGACTTCCATTTCTCCTGCCGCAAGATTCTTCAGTAGGGAATCCGTCAAAGAGCCGGCTTCCAGAATAATAAGCGGAAGAGCCGAAAATTGTGTAGGTCTTGGCAGACCACCCACCACGAACCTCACTCAAAGAAAAACTGCCAAAAAAAGAAGAGAACATCTGTCTGAGATAGTAAGAACTGCAGACGCTGGAGTCAGAGATAACACAGTGTGGAGCTGGAAGAGCACAGCAGGCCAGGCAGCATCAGAGGAGCAGGAAAGTTGACGTTTTGGAGAAGGATCCTGACCTGAAACGTCAGCTTTCCTGATCCTCTGATGCTGCCTGGCCTGCTGTGTTCCTCTAGCTCTACGCTGTGTTATATTAGAGAACTTCAGCCTGTTGTCTCTCTAACTGCCTTTCTCTCCTCCACTAATACGACAGAATAAACTGTACTGGTAGGTTCACACATAGTAATGGCCATTTGAGGAAAGTGTCAGAGGAATGCTATCAGAGTTGGGAGAAAATAAAATTTGTTTAAATTCAGTCTATTAAGCTCTCTATGATGAAGTGTGCAAAAGGTGTACAAAGTATTCCAGCTGTGGCTGAAAAGCATGTGATCACTTGTACCAGAAACCTATAGAGACCACTTAAAGGCAAAATTTAAATGATTCTATTGATCAGAGCTTCTAATGAGAGCTGCACAGATTTTCTGACAGCCAGACAATCATTTTGCTAGCATAGACAGGAATTGCTCATGAGGATGCTGGAAATCCCCATAAGAGCAGATTCCAAAGGATTTGCTCAGGAAATTGAATTTTCCGCTGGTACCCCCTCTGAAAGTTTCCATCTAAATCTGAGACTTCAGGGGGTTCTGACAAAATGAAGTGAAATAGTTCCTCAGGAAAATTTAGGCAATTAAATACACTGTCTGACTCCTGAGTAACTATTTAGCAGACCCCCACAATCTTTCATTACACACACAGCCAACTACACATGTCCCAGAGTCCTTGACCCCCCGGGACCCAACCCAATAGCCCCAATCCTGCTGGACCTGACCAGACATCCCCTCACCAAATTTTGATTTTCAGCAATTGTTAGTGCTACGATGAGCAGAGACCCAATGCATGTAACAAAAGCAAAATTCAGTGGATTTATGAGAGAAATGATAACTGTTTCCTCTCTCCACAGATGCTACTGGACCTGATGAGTTTCTCCAGCACTTAGCTTGATTTTAAGATTGTGTCTTCAGTGGCAAACTGACCTGGAAAAATGCCTTGTATAAAATCCAACGTTATTTTGCTTTTGTATGCAGTCCCACTCTATTTAAAGCCTAGGGTCGTGGTCAGTATTTTGTAACATTTTCCATTGTTGTTGCATGTTTCAATGTTCAATTTTTCTCCAAGATGTCCCTCTTTATATTTTCCAACATCGAATTATTTCAGCCATCTCTCTGCTAATGTTCTTGTCTCTCTTCTTGTAATATCTGACAATTTCTTCCTCATAAGTCCCAAGACCAAAAGATATAGCATCAGAATTAGGCCATTGAGTCTGCTCTGCCATTTGATTATGGCCTGTATGTTTCTCAAACATTCTCCTGCCGTCTCCCTGTAACCCTTGATCCCCTTACTAACCAAGAACCTATCCATCTCTGTCTTAAATACCCTCAATGACTTGGCCTCTATAGCCTTCTGTGGCAATGAGTTCCACAGATTCATCACCTTCTGGCTGAAGTAATTCCTCCTCATCTCAGTTCTAAAGGGCCATCCCTTCACTCTGAGACTGTGCCCTTAGGTCCTAGTTTCTCCTATTAGTGAAAACATTTCCATGTCCATTCTATCCAGACCCCTCAGTATTCAGTAAGTTTCAATCAGATCCCTCTCAATCTTCTAAACTCCAGCGAGTACAGACCCAGGGTTCTCAACTGCTTGTTATATGACTAGCCTCTCATTCCCAGGATTATTCTTGTAAACCTTCTCTGGATCCTATCTAAGTCCAACACATTATTCCTTAGATACAGGGCCCAAAACTCCTCACAATATTCCAAATGCCGTCTGACCAGAGTCTTATACAGCCTCAGCAGTACATCCCTGCTCTTGTTTTCTAGACCTTTCAAATGAATCCTAACATTACCTTTGCTTTCCTAACTGCCAAATGAACCTGCAGTTAACCTGAAGAGGATCCTGAACCAGGAATCCCAAGTCCCTTACTGCTTCAGACTTCCAAAGCCTTTCCCCGTTTAGAAAAGAATCTATGCCTCTATTCATCCTATCAAAGTGCATAACCTCTCACTTTCCCACAATGTATTCCGTCTGCCACTCCTTTGCTTACTCTCTTAGCCTAAGGCCTTCTAAAGCATCCCCGCTTCCACAACACTTTCTATCTGTGTTATCTGCACACTCAGCAACAACGCCCTCAGTTCCTTCAACCAGATCATTAACGTATAATGTGAATAGTTATGGTCCCAACATTGACCCCTGTGGAACTCCACTGGCTGCCATCCCGAAAAAGACCCTTTATCCCTATTCTCTGCCTTCTGCCAGTGAGCCAATCCTCTAGTTATGCTGGTACCTTGCCCGTAACACCATGGGCTCCTATCCTATTTAGCAGCCTCCTGTGAGGCACCTTGTCAAGAGTCTTCCAGAAATCCAAACCGATTGGTTGTTAGGCCACCAATTTGGTGTCAATGAACTTTAATATTCCTCTGTTGCCAGTGTCCAATTCATTTCTGTATATGAAAGAGGTTCCAGCACCGATCCTTGGCTAAAAGCACTAAGCACATCATTTAAATCAATATCTCCATGCTAACTATTTTCCACAGTTTAACTGTTTTTGATTCATGAATCTAATTTCCCTTTTGTAGCCCATGCTTTAACCTCTGCAAATGTCACAAGTGGTATTTCATCAAGCACCTGGTGAAGATCCATCCACTGCATTCATATATTTCTATTAAATTGATGTTGATTCTCCTTGATGAGCCAGTGTCAGCGCTCTTGCAAATTCTCTCAACTTGCCCACACTAGCCCACACAAGAAAGAGGGCCCTAAATTTCCATGGTTACCTCTTTCCCTTTTAAGCAGCAGTTTTGACATTTGCCATCTTCCAATTTTGGCCTGATTCCCAAAGGCAAATTGGAAAATTGAGTTGCTGAAGCTGCTGGAAGGTTGATTTTATTTTTAAAGAACACAAGGTTTTTCAAAGTAATTGGAGGCATTTTCTTGTGTTTTATTACTCTGGCTTAATGTTGCTAGTTGTAGTCCGACAAATTGTGCACACTGCAATGGATGTGATTACAGAGTTGCAGTATGTGAAAATGAATATTTAGGATTATGTAGCAATGTCACAACATGCATTTTGACTGCAAAAACAACATGAGAGTCTAGCTGTATTAAGTTGTCAAATATGATTTGAACATTATTTTACGCTGTGTCCATGCTAATATCAAATAATTTTGCATCAGTTGCATTTGTTAATGGTTTATCATTTATCTCACAAGGTAAAATGTTTCAGTCTCCTGATCTGAATCTTATTGTGGAGTTCATCCTGATGTTCCACAAGGAGAAACCGATTGACTGGCTGTTAGACCATATCTTGTGGGTGAAGGTTTGCAACCCAGAAAAAGATGCAGTAAGTGCAGAACTTTGTCTTGTAGAATGCTTGCACTCCAGCTCTGGTTTGCAATATGAGAACCTGTTCTTTATAGTTATATTATTAAAATAAACTAATTAAAATATACGGGATTACTAGTTTATTAATCAGAAAAATGTTGTGACCTATTTGTGTATTTTTCTCAACAGCCAAAATGATTGAATGCAAATTCTAGCTCTATCATTTTATCCCATGTGACACATTCTGTCTTACAGCTGTAGGATAGATGCTGATTGGAGAGTGACCTATCACTGAGAGCAAAATACTGTAAGAGTTTAGTTGATTTGCATCATTCTTAAGCCTCTTCCACAGTTGTGGAACGTTGCAGATGTGGCTCAGATGGTCACTAATATAAGGTTGCTGCCTGTGCTTTAAAGTTCTATTATATTTCCATCTATTGTGCCTGCCATTTGGCAGACCAGCCCAGTACGTTAAGCAGTGGATGCTATGGGTTCAGAAAAGATCAAAGCAAACTGTGCCTTTTCCACAAGCTAGGGAATTCATTGAGAACTCAACTGTTTCAATTCCTATATTTTTCTACTTTTATCCTAAACAGAGATCTCAAATATAATTTACCATTGGAAAGATTATAAATTTATTCTCAAAGTAGCAGAGGAATTTTAATTTGGGTCACATTTCCACAACAGCATAAATATAACCAGTGCATTGGACGAAGCTTTCCCTGCTTAAAGTCACTGTTTGTTTTTATTTATTTATTGAGGTATGCTTGAAAACTGGTCAGAGGCAGAAGATGAAGATGTCATCCTGCTGTGGGCATTTAAGAGAAAAATGTGAAATGAGATTTGTCATTCTTGCTCCATCTGTCACTTGGCAGGAGTCCACAGCACAATCCTGACCCTGATAATAGCTTAGACTGTGAGGATGATTGTGTATATGAACATCCTGCTTCTTGAAAATACAAAGTCTCTTGATGCTTAGAACTGAAAGAGAGACCCAATAAGGAAATAGCCAGGCTGGAAGATTTTCTTGGCTCAGTCAGAATACCTAGGGTGGCTAGTATGAAACAAATTTCCCAGAATTTTTTTTTTAAATCCCAAATTGATCTAGTGCTTTTATCAAGTTGTTTTTTGTCTCCTTGAGGCAACAGAAGGCATTACCACCATTTATTGGTCAGAAGAAAAAGGGAATCCAAAAGAGTCTAGAATTGGAGAAATGCTGAGTTCCAGAGGGTTGTAGGGCTGGAGAGGTTTATAAAAATGGGAAAGGATGTGGCATGGATGGATTTGAATACAAGATGAAAGTTTAAATTTATATGCTTGACATCTCCTTCACTAATGTCCTAATAGGGAAAGAAATCCATCATCTTTACCTGGTCCAGCCTATGCGTGACTCCAGATCCACAGCAATATGGTTGACTCTTAACTGCCCCCTCAGAAATTAGATATTAGAAATACATGCTGGCTTAGCCAATGACTCCCACCTCCCATGAATGAAGCTCTTTGAGGAGGTAACAAGCAGTGTAGATGAAGGGGAATCAGGAGATGCAATATATTTGGATTTCCAAAAGGTATTCGGTAAGGTACTGCACAAAAGGTGACTTAATAAGATACAAGCTCATAGCATTAGGGTATGTAAATTAGCATGAATTGAGGATTTGCTAATAGAATACAGAGTTGGGATAAAGGGGGCATTTTCAGGATGGTAACCAGTGGAGTGCCACATGGATCATATTAGGTTCACAATTATTTCCAATATACATTAACAACTTGGATAAAGGAGGTAAACGCACTATTGCCAAGATTGCAGATGACACAAAAATAGTCTTTTTTTTCATTTGTTCACGCACTAGATGTGGGCATCACAAGCATTTATTGCCCATTATCAGTTAAGAGTCAACTACTTTGAAGTGGGGCTAGAGTCACATGTAAGCCATACAGGGTAAGGGTGGCAGATTTCCTTCCCTAAAGGACATTAGTGAACCAGATGGGTTTTTACAACAATCAATAGTCACCATTTGTCTGGCTCTATATTCCAGATTTTATTGAATTCCAATTGCAACATCTGCCATGGTGGGATTGGAAACTATGTTCCTAACATATTAACCTGGAGTTCTGCATTACCAATCCAGTGACTATGTCACAGCCTTCCCTGGGAAGGCAAGTGATGAAGATGATGCAAGGAAATGATATAGAGGGACATAGGCAGGGTTAAGTTGTGTGCATAAACAGATTGAATATAACGTGGGAAATGTGAGGTTACACATTTTAGCAGGAAAATGGAAGATCTGAATATTATTTCAATGGAGAAAGACTGTAGGAAGCTGCAGCTCAGATAGATTTGGGGGTCTTAGTGCATGAATAACAAAAAAGCTTGCATCCACATTCAGCAGGTAATAGGGAAGACAAATGGAATGCATTGCTTTTATTTCAAAGGAAATAGAATATAAAATAGTGAGATCTTAATAAAACTATACAAGACCACCAATCAGCCCACAGCTGAAATACTATTAGAACAGTTCTGGTCCCCTTACCGATGCTGACATTGGAGGAAGTCCAGAGAATGTTCATCCTGGGAATGAAGCAACTTTCATATGACGTTGGGTTGAGTAGGTTGGGCATATATTCATTAGAGTTTTGAAGAAAGAGAGGAGACCTTATTGAAACATACAACTTTCTTGGGGGACTTGAGACGGTAGATCTGGAAAGGTAGTTTCCCTTGTAGGAGAAACTAGGACCAGAGGGCAAACGATGAGTTGACACTAGTGGAGAAGTTTCGTTTTTAGTATATACATATAATGCGAAGATGGGCAGTTTAGGTGGATTGGCCATGCTAAATTGCCCCGTAGTGTCCAGAGATGTGCAGGCTAGGTGGATTAGCCATGGGAAATACAGGGTTACAGGGTAGGGTGTGAAGGAGAGGAGAGTTCAGTCTTTATGGGATGCGCTTTTGAGGGTTGGTACTGATTTGATGGGCTGAATGGCCTCTGTAGGAATGCTACGATTCTATGATATACTAGACAAAAACAGATCATAACATAGGATTCGAGATTATTTTACTGCCAAATGGGGATAATTCTCCTTTTTCTGTGACAAATGCAAGTCATTTGAGTATCAATTGCAAACCTGTTCCTTGCCAAGGTTTTGTGTCCTAAATCTCTTGGGTGATGAAATTTGAGTTGTGTCTGTCTTAAACATTTGTGGTCTAGGCAGCCCCACCTTGAAAAATTGGAGAGGTCACTGGCAGCATGCACACCCTGAAAAATAGAACTGTTTGAAAATGGTATGAAGCTTCATCAGAGATTAATACATATGTATGATAATAAAAAGAACAAGTGTATGTATGCATTCCCTTATCTAAATGTATGATGCACAACCACAGAGACTTTCTTACTGCAAGACAGCAGATTTATTATCCTTGCCATCTGTTCAAATGCATGTGTGGAAATGTTAAAAACACTTTTAAAATTATAAAATTTTCTTGTACTTCTGTGGAAAAAGCACCTAATGCATCATGCAACAGAGGTGGCATGAAAGTGATGGGCCAAATGGCATCTTTTGTGCCATTAATTTTCTGTGTAAAATATCATGTACTAATATTATGTTTCCATATTATTGTATATATGTAAAATAGATTTTTTTTCCCTTTTTATTTCTGCATTTAAAATGATTGAATCCAACCCAGAAGTATTGCTGCTGTGGATATCTGAGATGAACAGCATAGTTAATCTATACTCCAGTTAAACATAAACATTGACTTCGGTAAAAAGATGCTTGTGGTGATCCTCACATAATTTGTGTCAAAAACTGAGCTGCCTGCACACTACCACAGCACCAGAAAGAAATGTGTATAATATGTGTGACTAGAAGCTTTTCATCATAACTTCATCATCATCATATTAAAGTATATTTGCCTATTCAGTTTAATGGGGTTAATTTGGACAGTCAACAGTTGTGGTATTGATGACCAGAAAATTAAGCTTGGAGATCTAGACAGTTGAATTGTTCGTTTAGAAATGTATATTCATTATCGTTACTACAACAGATTATATGTCAGTGCTATAGTAGGGAAGAGAAGAATGTGCATGTAATGATTTTCTATTATCAGTAACATATGGACCTGATAGCTATGTTGTTGTTATTACTCTTTTAAATTCCTTCACAGGATGTGCACATCACCATCAAGTCCAGCTTCATTGCCTATCTCTAATTGTCCATATGGTGATGTGCGTTCTTCTTGAGCCACTGCAATCTGTGCACTGTAGCAAACTCCATTGCTGGAAGGGAGGCAATTCCAGTATTTTGACCCAGTAGGAAGAAACTATAGAGTTCTAAGGCAGGATGCAACTTGGAAGGGAATATTCAGTTGGTGGCGTTTCCATGCTGTTGCTGCCCTTGTTCTTTCAGGTAGTAGAGACTGTGTGTTTCAAATGTTAAAAAAGGCAGTGCAACTTGTACATATACAGACTACTGCACTCGTGAACTATTGATCCAGAGAGTGAATGTTTAAGGTGATGAGGTGATTCAGTGGCTCAGTGGTTAACAGTGCTGCCTCACAGCACCAGGGACCTGGGTTCGATTCCTCCCTCAGACAACTGTCTGTGTGGAGTTGCATGTTCTCCCCGTATCTGCATGGGTTTCGTCCAGGTCCCCCGGTTTCCTCCCTCAGACCAAAGATACACAGGTTAGGTGGATTGGTTGTGCTAAATTGCCCATAGTGTCCAGTGATGTGTAGGTTAGGTAGATTTGTCATTGGAAATGCAGGATTACAGGGAATAAGATGGGTTTGAGTGGGATGCTGTTTGGAGGGTCAGTGTAGACTCAATGGGCTGAATGGCCTGCTTCCGCCCTGCAGGGATTCTATGAAGTGGGAATGTGATGGGATTGAGATTAGACTGTTGTTGGGACTGCACTAACAAACAAATGCATTATACCACACTCCTGTTTAGTGAGAGGGCATAGATTTTTACAGTGATGTGCAAATGAAGCAAAGGTGATATGAGTAAAAACTTGTCACACAGT